AGTAAATTTAATTTGAAGCATGGTGGAAAATAAAAGGAATGCAACTGCTACGTACCATTTGTGCATATGGAGCATTATATTAAATGTGTTGGGAAAAAACTCCGGAATTTCCCGCTTCGTGAAGTTAAGATAGACACTTAGGAATTAAGGTAGTAATGAGAGCACACGATTTAAATTCTCCAATATGGAGATTCTTCCACTATACAAAAGAATAGTAGGATTTACAAGAATGTTACAAAATTGTCTCACTCAATGGTGGCTCACTCAAGCTTGAGGATATGACCTTCCCAAGCTAACTCTCTTCTCTCTCAAAGAGGCTCTCTAACTCTCTAGCTTTCTCACTCTAGGAAGTGGATTCTCTCTTGCTAGAATTGCTAGGATTAGGATTGGGATAGTTAGGAATGGAGGTTCCTACTCCTATTTATACTACTCCACCTCCATAATGAGTGGTGGAGAATATTTCTCTAGAATGATCTACATGACTACCTATTCTAGAGAATTCCAAGGAATCTCTACACCTCTCCATTCTCTTCCATATGCTTCCATACTCTTCCATAAGCTTCCGGAAGGTTCCACACATCTCTAGAATATTCCAGAGGATTCCACATTATTCCGCAAGCTTCTAGAGAGTTCTAGACTTCTCTAGGATTCTCCGCAACGTTCTAGAAAATTCTATACTTCTCTAGAAAGCTCTAGAATTTTCTAGAACCTCTCCAATTAAGTAGGGATCCCAACAAATCTCCCCCTCCCAACTTAATTGGGGGGTTGTAGCAAACCTGCACCTTGACAACAATCTTCGAACTTCTTTGTCGGTATAACCTTGGTCATCATGTCTGACCAGTTCTCGTCTGTGTGAACCTTGTCAAGATGCAATTTCTTTTCTTCGAGGACTTCTCGGATCCAATGATACCTTGTATCAATGTGCTTCATGCGGGAATGAAATGTTGAGTTCTTCGCCAAGTAAATTGCACTTTGATTTTCGCACTTCAACACGTACCTTTCTTGATCTATTCCCAGCTCGAGCGACACATTCTTCATCCACAACATCTCCTTGCAAGCTTCAGTAGCTGCGATGTACTCTGCCTCTGTGGTGGATAATGCAACACACTTTTGCAGCTTTGATTGCCAGGAAACAGCTCCCCCTGCAAAAGTAGTTAGGTATCCCGATGTTGATTTCCTTGAATCAATATCACCGGCCAAGTCTGCATCTGTGTATCCTTCTAACATAGGTTTTCCTTTTCCAAAGCATAAACATCTTTTGGAAGTTCCACATAAATACCGGAGGATCCATTTGACCGTTACCCAATGTTCACTCCCAGGGTTGGCCAAGAAACGACTAACGACTCCAACTGCATAGGCGATATCTGGTCTTGTGCATATCATTGCATACATGAGACTGCCTACTACAGATGAGTATGGAATCTTCTTCATTTCCTCCTTTTCTTTCTCACTTGTGGGACTTTTCTTCGAACTCAACCTGAAGTGTCCAGTAAGTGGTGTGTTTACCGGCTTTGATTTGTTCATGTTGAACCGTTCCAACACTTTCTCAATGTACCTCTCTTGGGATCGCCACAACAGTCTCTTCGATCTATCACGAGTTATTCTCATCCCAAGGATTTGTTTAGTCGGTCCCAAATCTTTCATGGCGAAGCTCTTGCTTAGACCTTTCTTCAAAGCATCTATCTTTACGCGATCTTGTCCAACAATCAACATATCATCAACATAGAGTAGAAGTATGAGAAAGTCGCCACTTGCATACCTCTTTATGAAGACACAATGATCGCTCTTTGTCTTTGTAAAATCATGCTCTGCCATGAAGGACTCAAACTTCTTGTACCACTGTCTCAGTGCTTGTTTGAGGCCATATAGACTCTTCATGAGGCGACATACTAGGTTTTCCTTGCCCGGAACTTTGAACCCTTCGGGCTGCTCCATGTAGATCTCTTCCTCTAGGTCGCCGTGAAGGAACACTGTCTTGACATCGAGTTGTTCAATCTCCAAATCTTGCGCCGCTGCTAGGCCAAGAACAACTCGGATGGATGACATCTTTACCACAGAAGAGAATATTTCCTCAAAGTCGATGCCTTTTTCTTGACCGAATCCTTTGACAACCAATCGAGCTTTGTAACGAGGCTTTGAGCTATTGTCTTCGGTCTTGATTCGATACACCCATTTATTCTTCAAGGCTCTTCTCCCTTTTGGCATCTCCACTAGTTCATAAGTGTGATTCTCATGAAAGGATTGCATCTCTTCTTGCATGGCTCTTCTCCACTCTTCCTTATGAACATCACATATTGCTTATTTATAGCTTTGTGGCTCCCCCTCATCCGTGAGCATCATGTACTCCTCGGTGTTGTACCGAGTGGATGGTCTTCTCTCCCTTGAGGATCGCCTCGGCTCTGGTGCTGGCAGAGAACTAGATTGAGGATCTTCCTGAGTTAGTTCATCATGAGTCTCCTGGTTTCTTTGCTCTAACACAGGCTCATGGTCTTCAACATTATTGTCTTGATGTGGATCAGTATCCTCACATCGAACTTGCGTAGGTCTGGTGCTCCTGCTGCTTCTCAATATTGGCTTCTCCGAGTTTTTAATGTCTTCAATTGTTTGGTCTTCGAAGAACACCACATCTCTGCTACGAACAACCTTCTTGTTGATTGGATCCCATAGCCGATAGCCGAATTCATCCTTGGGTGAGCGAAGGTATATGCACTCCTTCGTCTTTGCGTCGAGCTTAGCTCGCTCGTCTTTGGGGATGTGAACAAATGCTCTGCACCCGAACAACTTAAGATGATTGTATGAAGCCTTTTTGCCTGTCCATACTTCCTCTGGGATGGCGCCGTTCAAAGGAACCGATGGTGTGAGGTTGACGATGTCAACTACGGTCATTATAGCTTCTCCCCAAAAGAATTTGGGTAACTTAGCCTGAGAGAGCACACAACGGACTCTTTCTTCAATAGTTCTATTCATTCTCTCAGATAGCCCATTCAATTGTGGTGTCTTGGGTGGAGTCTTCTCTAGCCTAATGCCATATTTCTTGCAATAGGCTTCAAAGGGACCTCTATACTCACCTCCATTGTCAGATCGTACACACTTGATCTTCCTTCCTGTCTCACATTCTACAAGAGCGTGGAATTCCTTGAAAGCGTCAAGTACTTGATCCTTTGATTTTAACAGGTGCAACCGTACCTTTCTTGAATGATCATCAATGAAGGTCACAAAGTACAACACACCACCAATAGATCTCTCGGACATTGAGCACACATCAGTGTGTACAAGGTCGAGGATGTTCTTTCTCCTTGTGGGCAGAGAAGATCTTTGGAAAGCAACCCTTTGTTGTTTTCCAGCTAAACAGTGTGCACAAGGATCAAGTGACTTACCTTTCACGTCCGGGAGGAGTTGTTTCCGAGCAAGTATGTGAAGGCCCTTCTCATTGATGTGACCAAGTCGTTTATGCCATACTTCCATGTCATCAGTGGTTATATTTACCTCTCCTTTGCAGAGCTTAGCTTGCATCACATACAACGATCCTTCCTTCTTTCCTCTAGCCATGACTAGACTTCCTTTGGTGAGCTTCCATTTTCCTTCACCAAAGTAATTCATCAGACCAGCATCATCTAACTTTCCAGCGGAGATAAGATTGAGGCGCATGGCCGGGACATGCCTCACATCTTTGAGAATAAGCTTGCATCCGGTGCTAGTTGTCAAGACGATGTCTCCTGTCCCAACGATCTTGCTCCTATCTTGGTTTCCTATTTGAACCGTACCGAAGTCACCACTTTGGTAGGATGAGAAGAAACTTCCATGGGGAGTGACATGGAACGAAGCACCAGAATCGATAATCCAGGAACTATCATCACAAGCAATGTTTAGGATATTACCTTCTCCAACGAGATATAACAGATCTTCTTTTGCGACTACGGCAGTGGTACTCTTCTCTTCTTGCTTCTTCATTGGGGTAACTTGGTCTGGTTTGACGTTACCGGCCTTCTTGTCTCTCTTGAAGGATCGACACTCCATTTTCCTGTGGCCCATTCTTCCACAGTAGTAGCATGTGATCTTCGAGCGTGACTTGGACCTACCTCGAGATTGTTGCGGATCTCGGCTTTTACTGCGTCCACGAGTCTCATTCCTACCCCGGTTCTCGATAACATTAGCCTCAGGATGCATAGACTCACCTCGTTCCATTCTCCTTGATTCTTCGCCAAGAAGACTATCACTGACGGTGTCCATGGTTAGCTTTCCTTCCGGAGCTGAGTTACTAAGTGTAACCACGAGTGTGTCCCAACTTTCTGGCAAGGAACTAAGGAGTAGAAGGGCTTGCAACTCGTCATCAATCTTCATCTCGATTTTTGTTAGTTGATTTACGAGCCTCCTGAAGTTATTCAAGTGTTCAATCATACTTTGACCATCCTTATACTCCAATTTCACCAACCGTCGAACTAAATTGGCTTTATTACGAGGTGTCTTCTTTTGAATCATGGACTCAAGTTTTGTCCATAATTCATAAGCATTCGTGTAAGTGGACACATGCTCGAAGAGGGATTTGTCGATGTACTTACGGATCATAGCAACGGATTTCCGATTCAGTAGCCACTAGTAGAAAAAGCGCCTATAGTGACACTAATTTAGTGTCGCTGAAACTTTCAGCGACACTAAAAAAGCGTCGGGGAAAGTGGCGGCTAGCGACACTATATTTAGTGTCACTGATGCGGGGACGGTTTTGTGTCAGCAAATAGTGACACTAATTTATCGGCTAAAATAGCGACATTTATGCATCAAGAACACATTGTGACATTAATACATCATAGATTTTTATGACACTTTCAGTATCATAAATTTTTATGATACTTTCAGCATCATAGATTTTTATGACACTTCAATGTCACTTGGTTGGTTTTGTTAATTGGGCCTATATAGGCCTAGATAATATGCCCATGGTAGCTTTAGTAGAATTCAAATTTATTGCTTACTTCATTCATAAATATTATAACATCCAAAAATTAATGGATACCCAAAATACATCATTTAACATATAATATTCAGTAACAATTTCACATTCTTGTTCAATTACATTTCCTACCGCCGGATAAAAGATATAGAAAAATTCCAGCATGCAATATTCCCGCAAAAAAACCGGCTATTGAAATTCAGCAAAAAAACTACTACCAAGCATCATTGAAGATGCTAAAATACAAACAAGTCACATTCCCAACCGGTACCAATGTTTAGTTATCAAAAGTTTGACCTGCCTCTACATTCTACAAACATAACATAACACCGACCATTCTAACCACCATCAACAATAATCAGAAATGCATCTCCCCGTGCATATCATCAAGCCTTTGTAGGATCCGCTTGCACACTACATATCAAACAAAATATAATATTACATCCATATATTATGAAACTTATTTTCGGTAAATTTTAAATGTGAACTTACTTTTTTATCAAAGTAGCAGCATACAAAGCCCACTCCTCACGCACTTGTAAAATATCATCTTCGGTATACTCCTTGACGGTAGAGAACTTCAATGTAAAATTAAATTAATTAGCACTTACTATCATTACAAGATACACTAATTAATTAATTGCGCTCACATTCTGTTTCAAACGATTCACGTCAGATACAATATCCTTCATGTACTTCATCACAAAGTAACCACACTCAACTCCTCCTGTTTGCTTAGGGCACTGCATATATTCAATTTAAATAGACAGTAAATACAAACTAAGATTTACTAAAAACAAAGAACAAGTTATAGTAAAAAAATAATACAATCAAGTATTGAATGGATTGCAATAATTCACTTCTTTAACTCACTTCTTTAAAACAAATTGTAATAATTCAATAGGAGTATGCTTCATGGATTGGCCTTTCCAAAGGTATTTTATTCTTTTTTATCTTTTGGACCAGATTCCCTTGGGAGGTTGAGCCATGATTTTTATGCAACTTGAGACTTGCAAGTAGGAATGGCTATTACCCTATTTGCGCATAACATGTGAAACAGATAGACATCATCACCATTTGATCAAGATTTTTCACTATAATATTATTATTCATAATCTGGAATCATTAATCACTCTCATTAATTCAGAAACTACCTTCTTCATATCATGTGCATCTACCCTCTATCATTTACATTGATTTAATTAACTAACAAACTAATAATAATAGAATTATAAACAAATATTTTCTGGCCAGGACAGTTCATACTGATTAAAACTTGTAGCATACAAATCACAGCTGCTAATTTAAAAACTTGCAAATGATAAATATTGTTCCTAAGGATGGAGTATCTAAAATAAGAATAGAACTATTAAGCGAAGTTGAGATTCAGCGAAGTTTCATGGTTGCAACTTACAAGAGATGAATATCTAAATTCAGAAAATAACTGAACAACCATGGTTCATAACAAAGACCCATTAATTTTAGTGAACTGCCTTTCCGTACTACAAAACACCAGTTCAGATTTTTGATCTTTAGTCAAAAGGATCTCATGTACAAATCACAGCCGCTAATTTATACTAAAAGTGATAATAAACATCAAAGGATACATACCATCACTCTCACCCATTTTAAATTCAACCTTTTCTTGGATTTTTGGGCATGATTAATCGTCACCCCTCTGAAAAGGAAACACAATCATTATTAAAATTCAACCGATCCAATATTTTCTCATCATTTAAAGGGCCTATGTAACTTAACTGATTCATGTTAAGTACAAAACTGAAAAAATATGTTTAGTAACTTTGTTTTAGTCTATTTAGTTAACGTATTGAGTACTCTCCTAGTTTAGATAACAAACTAAAAAGATTTGTATAAGAACTTTGTTTTGAACTCACTGATAAACTAATAATGCCTTGAAAGAATAGTAGATTTCATTTTCATTTACAACTTTGTTGGACCAATAAAGAATCAAATTGTAGCAGGGATAGAGTAAGTACTCACAAGAAAATGATAAAAACAGGTCCGCCTTTAGAACTTTGGAGGCCCTAGATGAAAAAAATAAGATCAATAAATTATGTTAATGTCATCCTATAACAAAAAATAAAATATATATAGATATTTAGTTTGGTCTTCTATATTTTTTAGTGAGAATCACAAATCAAACAAAATAATTAATTTGCTATGATCACCGAAAGATAGATAAATATTTATATTGGATGGCACCATCCAATAAACTAAAGCTAAAACTACTTTATGTATTTACTGTTAGGAAATTGATGTAACGTACCTCGAAAGTACGGCAGCGGAAGTTTAAAATTTTCCCAAACAGATCTTTCCTGATTATGACAAAACAACGAATATGATAATAATAACAGATTTGAGTTAGAACTTACAGATCTTCCAGCCTAGCGGTGATAATCCTTGACCTTAGGTATCCACGTGATTTCTCCTCTCCGAAAGAACGATTAGATCTCCCTTTAGAGAAAGGCTAGGAAATCTCTTCGCAGGGAAATAAACTGGTAATACTGAATCTAAAATTCTACAATGAATTATGAAGGAGGAGTATGTATTTATACTAGTTCTAAACTAGTTTCCTAATCACAATGAAAGTCTTTCTCATTAATGAGTTCTAGTCCTGCTAGGACCAATACTCCTAATTAATTAAATAATTAGATAAAACAAAACAAAATAATAATAATAATTGAGATGTGGCTGCACGCCACTTTCTAATTATTATATATTATTATTTATTTTATTTACTTTTTCTTTTTAATTCCAAATTACAAAAGAAAATATCTACTTTATTTAATAATAAATACATCTTATTTAAGTATGATAAATCTAATTTATCTTACTTAATTAATTCTATCAAATAGAACTCTCCTTCACCTTTATGAATTAAATACGTCTAATCTAATTAATATTTAATCCATTTTCAGTATTACGAATTAAATATTATTTAATCCAATTAATAATATTTAATTCCTTCTAACAATTCAATCGGAAGGTGTAATCACTTGTTGTGTGACCCATAGGGCCTTGTATATTAAGCACTAATCAAATTAAGGTCTTAGTAGAATCCCTAGACGATTTACCAGACAAACTTAACATATAAGGACGTTTGCGAGGACTATTCAAACTCCCTGTAATATAGAGTTCATAGTGATACGGTCCTTTCATTCAGCGAACATTCGACTAAGTCTAGAACATGATATTGTGTCTATTCCAATAACTCAGTCTCTGTCTCTCAATCTTTCTAGATGATCTTTAACGATCATATTCGATATCCAAAACGAATATATATTTGCATTGGCCAATGACTTTATGATTCATCTAGATATGAGAAGTAGAATGTTCTCTCCTAATCTATTATGAGGAATGAATCCTTTCTTGCCTCAACTACTACTCCATGTGCTTCGTGATGCACCCAACACATGTCGTATCTACCCCGATTGGTGTGCAAGCGTTGGTCATGGTCAAAGTACATCACTCCGCACATGTAGTACGTATTGACCTCAAGTCGGAGGACTATTACACTACTCTATACGCCGATAATCCCATAGACACATGAATAGAACTTATCAAATGGTTTCTCGGTGGGTATGCCAATATTCTCTAAAATATCTATGTGATCATCATGAATTACAGGAATTCATAGTTGTGAGATCAACTATACTTTCTAAAAGTATGATGCAGTCCACATACCAATCTTATCGCATATCATCAATATCCCTTTCTTGATGATCATTGATTGAGGCTATTTTAGGACTTTATGTTATATCATATAAGCTCTCACTTACTTAGTGACAACATAAATCCATGGGAACACAATTATGAATAAGATATTGGCAATCGAAATACTTAATCATCAATGTGTAATACCGTTTATATCAAATATATAAAACTGAATGTGATCAAGTACATATATCTCTAAAAAATGATTGTCGCTAGGACATATATACTAACAATCTCCCACTTGGCCTAGTGCCAATCACTGATGCGTCTAACACCTAGACTCTCAAAAGTCTAGTGTGTTTCTAACATCTCAAAGGTTTGGTGAATGAGCGAGCCAAATTGTCCTCTACGGGAATGTGTTCTATTGCAACTTCTCATCTTGCTATTTGTATCAAAACATGATAGCATACTGGTATTTTCTAGTTCCTTACTTTGCATCTTGGTTCCTTACCTTGTGCAAATGCACCGGTACAGTCACAATAACAATTATTGGATAACTGTCGCTAGGAACTACCCCTAGTTCTTTAAGGAACTAACGTATCTAAACGCTTACCTATGTTGCATCAAATGCAACAATTTACTAGGCTCTAGTTGTCGAATTTACTAGCATTACTATTACATTGAGACTAAATACATATACTGACTATGACTCGTAGTCTTTCTTATCATACATGAAACTAGTGCTAGAATAGTTAAATTCTACTAGTTCTTTCTGTCTACTATAGACAAAAGATATTCATGAATATTTTGGGTGACCATTCTTTCACGGACTTCAATGAGGGGATATCATTCTCTATGATCAACATATATGATTATAAAGACCACACTATCCTTTTTGCGCACTCTAAACACGCAAGCACCCTCATTTCATTTGATGAGGTCAAACGGTTTGACTTTTTCATCAAAATTATTATTTCAACTCCTAGATGCTTGTTCCAGCCCATAAATAGATATCTCTAATTAACATATTGAATTAGAATTTGATATGGATAGAAAACCTTCAGGTTTTACCATGTACACCTCCTCCTTGAGATTTCCATTAAGGAAAGGGGTTTTGACATCCATTTGTCAAATATCATAATCATATTGAGCAGCTATAACAAGCAAAATCCAAATGGACTTGAGTTTTGCAACTGGCGAATAGGTATCACTATAGTCAATTCCTTTTCTTTGACTATAACATTTAGCCACTAGCCTAGCTTTGTATGTTTTCACCTTGCCTTCAGCATTAATTTTCTCCTTGAAAATCATTTTGCATCCAATGGGTCTAACCGAACAGGCAAGTCAACCAAGTTCCATACTTGATTGATATACATCAAGTACATTTTAGATTTTATGGCTTCTCACCACCTCTCTAAATCAACATCTAATATTGGTTTAGGTTTAGGTCTTAGGTTCATCCTTGTCATGAATTTTTACATCATCATGATTCTCCATGTGGAAGCCAAACCTAGTTGATTCATGATGAATCCTAGTAGACCTACAAAGTTGAATATTTTGTGTTTCTTCAGGCTATTCATTCTGATTGTGAAGAGATTCTCCTTCATTGGACTATCCAATGTTCGGAGAGTTTTCTGGTGCTACACTTTTAATTGTTTCAAGAGAAGGAGAAGTGGGTGCAGAAAGAATGACAACCGTGTCATTTGTTTCTTTCATAAGAATCACGTGCTGGTGCGAGGTGATTCCTATGTTACTCCCACTAACTGAAAGACATCTTCCTAGAGACATGCTTCCACTCAATTCTCCTACTGAATCCTTGTTTTGACTATCTAACAAGTCTTCGTCCTTTATATTATTTTGTGATTCTTGAACTTCATCAAGTTCTATCCTCCCACAATTACATTCCTTAAAGACCAAGTCTTGTACTAGGAATCTCGCTTGTCTGGAAATAATGATTTTATATCCCCCGGGAAGATAAATTAGTATCCCTAGTTTCCTTAGGATACCCCACAAAATAATATTTCTCACTTCTAGGTCTCAACTAGTCAATGTCCATTTTCTTCACATATGTAAGGCAACCTCACTCTTTAATATGTGTAAGAATAGACTTCTTATTACACCATAACTCGTATAGTGTCTTTTGCACTAACTTAGATGGAACTCTATTCAGAACGTATATTGAGGTTTCCAATGCGTATCCCCAAAGAGATGTTGGAAGAGATGTGGAATTCATCATGGACCTAACCATGTCCAACAAGGTTCTATTTCTCCTTTCAAAAACCTCACTCAACTGAGGTGTTCCTGGAGGAGTCCATTGTGACTGAATTCCTTGACCTTTCAAGTAATCAAAAAACTCCTTACTCAAGTATTCCACTCCACAATCAGATCGTAGAGTCTTGATACTCTTGTCAAGTTGTTTCTCTACTTCAACCTTATACTCCATGAATTTCTCAAAAGTTTCTGATTTGTGTTTCATAAGATACACAAAAACCAAACCTAGAGAAATCATCAGTAAAATGATGAAGTAAGAAAATACTCCTCTAGCTTGAGTTGCAAACAGTCCACACACATCTGTGTGAATCAATTCAAACACTTCTTTGGCCCGCAATCCTTTTCCAAGAAAAGGTATATTGGTCATTTTAGCTAAAAGACAGGAATCACAATTACCATATGATTCAAAATCATATGGTGTTAAGTAATCTAATTTACTTAACCTTGTTATTCTTGTTTCACTAATATGGCCAAATCGCAATACCAAAGATGGGTGGTATTTTTCTAATTACTTAACCTTGGTCTCTTATTTTGTACATTTAATATGTCATGCCTACAAGTAAGAATATATCAACCATTCATAAGAGGGGCATTTCCATACACAATGTCACTTTGTCAAAAATAACAAGTGTTATCACCAAAATGTAAGGAAACCCCTTAATGTCTAACATATGAATGAAAATTATATTCTTTGTTATAGAAGCAACAAAATAACAATTATTTAGTTCTAAACTATAACCACTGGGTAAATCTAATTTATAAATGCCAACATGCCTAGCAGCAACTATTGCTCCATTTTCTACTTGTAGGCCAATTTCACTCAGTCTAACTGCTTACTGTCACTTAGACTTTACACATTATTCCAGTGTGTGAGCCACACGTTGTATCTAATACCCAACAGTGAGAGTTAGTTGTAGACATATTAATACTAATGATAAAAATACCTAAGCTAAAAGCACTCGATGCTTTGGCTAGATTAGCCCTACATAGCTTAAAACCTCTCTTCCAATGCCTTATCTTTGTTGTAGAGGCATACATCCTTTAGTACCTTAGGTTTCTTTTGAATCCCACCTTTAGGTTTCAAAGCTAGAGGCTTAGGTCTAACCTTAGTTCTCTTCTTCTGCTTGTTCTTTCCCGTAGGAAAAGATTCAGCAGTAGAGCTTACCTTAGCAATGTTATTCTTCTGAATGTCTATGTCAAATATAACTAATTCAGAAGAGTTCACATTAGGAACCTCGGGTAGACATGTGTCAAACACATCTCAATATTTTCTTGCCTAAACACTAAACGCACATTTTGTTCGAAGTCTAGAAAGTCTGATCGAGTCAGATTATTTGTATCCAAGATACTTCTCATTGATAAATTCGACATTCTTAAAAGCCTAGAGAACTTCAAATAGAACGGGAATTAAAATCATATAATAATTCTTATGATCACATTTAGTTAACTAAATAATTCAGGCTTTTAATTATTTAGCTCTCACTATTTTCATGCTCTTTGACCCCAATAAAAAGAACATGGAATGTTTTACAATCATAGTGGCCAAGATCCACATTCATACTATTACAGTCCCAGCTTGGGCTGATCACTGTAATAATATAATGGGTAGGTCCCTAGACCAATTGTGTCCAAACAACTCTTGGTTGATCAATTTTTAAATTGATCGACATCCCTAAATTAACACTGACGCTTGGGCGACTCGAGCTAATTTAAGTAAGTCAAAACCATCACACGATCATAACCAATTGTACCTATAAATTAGTTCTATATTTTGTCGAATGGAATAAACACTTGGGTGAAATATTCTTCAACGAAAAAATATTTCTACTAATTTAATTATGATGGGTGATGTCGTTATCCCAGATAAGACTTAAATTTTAATTTATGGGAACATTTAACGGGGTATTAAATTACTTAATCAAGATGCTAAAACATATTATCAAATGATATACTAACGAGATCTAACTCAGACAGATAAAATTAAAGCACACAATATAAATCTAATTTATAAACGAATATAATGATAAAAGATAACTAACAGTGGTATGAGAGCCAAACTGATTTTAATGACATTATACAAATTTTGATCGATATTTTCGTATGTAAAAATATTTTTCAGAAATAATATTTTTACTTCAATCAAATCTGGGATCAGAATTAGATATATTTTTTGTTTTAGAACCTATCATGATAAGGTTTGTTTTTAGAAGTTAAAATCTGGAAAATCTCAAAAAATTGAAGATCTACCCGTGACTGCCGTGAGAAGTCATGTTAAGCATGGCTGGGTCATTTCTTGTTGACTTAGCAGCTTCAGAAGCCGTGGCTGCAGTTCCACCTTCCATTTCAGACTGCAGTATATAAAAAAAATTATCTGTTAAGCATATCAATTAACTTAAGTCTGAAACATACTAACTGTAAACATGTAAACATGTTGTACATGTAAACATATTAAGCATATTAACTGTTAAGCATACTAACTTAAGCATATTAACTGTAACACAAGTTTAATATTAACTGTTAAGCATACTAACTTAAGCATATTAACTGTAAACAAGTTTAATATTAACAGTCAGTAATGTTGTACATGTAAACATATTAAGCATATTAACTCTTAAGCATACTAACATGTTTTACTTATTAACTGAAGTCTGAAACATACTAACTTAAGCATATTAACAGTAAACAAGTTTAATAAGCATATTAAGCATATTAACTGTTAAAGTGTTAAACTGTAAACAAGTTTAAGCATATTAACTGTTAAACTGTAAACAAGTTTATGTGTATAACTGTATAAGCATATTAACCGTAAACAAGTTTAATAAGCATATTAAGCATATTGAGCATATTAACTGTAAACAAGTTTAATAAGCATATTAACTATTTTTACTGTAAACAAGTTTATGTTTCAACATGTGTAAGCATGTAAGAAGTACAAAATGTTTATGTAGAGTACATAATAAGAGTCTACTGTGTTCATGTTTTACATGTGTACATGCTGAAAGATGCTTAAAAATGTGTACTTCACTACTTCTTAAATGTGAAAAAGAGATAGAGAAACATGTTTTACATACTTCTTAAACACATGTTTACAGAACATGTGAGAAGAAAAAAACATATTGGTAGTATGTAAAGAAGAAGTAGCCGTTGAAAAATGAAAACATAAATAAAATGGAAGATGAAGGAGAAGAAAACTTACTTTGATCGGTGAGTGCTGGGCTGCTGCAAGCTGCGGTTGATGTGGCTGGAAGCTGTGGTTGATGTGGAGGGAAAGGAGGATGTAGCAAGCAGGTACAACAGAGCAGAGCAGGAGCGGAGTAGGAGGATGTTTACGCTATGTGTTTATTGTAGGTTATTAAGTTGTTTTGACCTTATTTAGTTGGGCTTTGTTAAAAACGTGGGCTTCTTAATGGTCTTTTGACAACCTTGCATAAGTCCAACTCCCTAATAGCAGTAATTTTTATCTTTTATAGTTTATTAGTTTTATTTGAGTAATATTTACATCAAGTGATCAAGTTGTCTAGGAGGGAGGTCTTTGATGCATCCTCAAGTAATTTTTTCACACTATGGCATCATTTATCCAAGACTTATCCATTTGAATACTAATACCTAGTTTATAGTACAAACAAAAACTCAAAATAGTATACATAAACTACAAAACATGAAAATTAGCTTATAAATATTGTAATTTGGAGTTCTACGTTTCAGTTTAATGTTATAGAAATTAAATATATATAAAATCCTCAAAAACTGAAGCACACATTTGAATAAACAAAGTAAATCAGTTTTTCCCTCTCCCAAGTCATACCAATATCTATAAATAAACAAAGCAAATCAGTTTGGGATATGTAAAAAAAATATACATTAACCATATTTCCTTATTGAATTAGAGTTGCAATTTGATATAAATGAACTCAAAAATATATTCTAATAGGGTAATAGTGTAATGTTAAAACAACTTGAAACTAAAAACTAAAATATTTTGATTACATTTTGTCCATACAACTGACTGATAATTTCCATCAATGGGAGACATTCCTATGCAGTATCTTTTACTCTCTTTTTACTTTTTACACTTCAATTTAAAACTTAGACATAGTGCTCAAGCTAGAAACTTTATACATTAGATCTCAACCTTTACTCAGTTTGATACAATGTTTAAATCGTCATAAAGTTTGAAGCAATGTTTATGTCAGATCAAATTTATTATAATCCATTCTTTTATACTTGTTCCATTCTTCCTTTTCACCCCTTACAGCTTTATTTCTCTTACCTTTCGTATACTATCTAGGAGTACTTTTTTTTTTTTAAATTTTGGCAGCAGGTACTACCTTACCATCTTAGATTTAATTTGCGTGAAAACTGTCTCATATCCTGCTGAAAAGAACTGAGTGAGGACAAAGTGAATAAATCAATTGGGCAGGATATGAGACAGTTTCATATCAATTGAACAAAGTGAGGACATGAGACAGTTAGCTATGAGACAGTTTTGATTACTACCTTACCTATTTGTAATTTGATTTATTCACTTTGTCCTCACTCAGTTCTTTTCAGCAGGATATGAGACAGTTTTCACGCAAATTAAATCTAAGATGGTAAGGTAGTACCTGCTGCCAAAAGTGAATAAATCAATTGAACAAAGTGAGGACAAAGTTAATTAGCTTTATTTTCACTCATTCAGATGCTATATTTTCCCTAGGATATATTTTCATGGTACAACCTCCAAAATTCAGCATGCATGTTCACAATGACTTTAGCATGTAATGATTCAATAATGGTTCATGTAAAATTACTAATTGCAACTCAACATGAACTTAAACAAAGATGCACAATAAAATCTACCTTTATTAATGACAGTTTTTTATTCACAAGCAACTCAACATATCAGTATATGAAAGATGCACAATAAGAAAGACAACCAAGGTATATGAATCAGTTGCTTATTAAGATGCAGCTCAGGACAGCCAAGGACAGCTCAGGACAGTTTTTTGTGAATAAAATCTACACTCATGTGAATAAAATTACTAATTGCAACTCAACAACTCAGCATTAAATAAGAAAGACAGTTTTTTATTCACAAGCAAAGGACAACCAAGGTGCTAATTAACATACAGAAATCGCAACATTCATTACCTATTTGCAATATAAAATCAGTATATATATATATCAACCTGAGAGAGAAGACGCAACGTGCGTAGTGCGGCGACGGAGTATGGTGACGCGCGGAGTAATGCGACGGACTCAATCGATCGAACTGTTGAAGGCTGCCATGGACTAAATCGATCGAACTGGGGCAACGGTGTATGTTCTCTAGCTCTGGACGAAGAATCGGCAGGTTGAGAAGGACAGTAGCGAGGCGCGAGTACGAAGAATTGGCAGGTTGAGAAGAAAGTCGATTATCAGGGGACCTAGGGTTAGTTTGTGCGGCTACTGGGGAAGGACGAATAGGTTGGCTAAGTGTAATGAAAAAACAAAGTGTTAAATCAGCTAAGGTAAAAAATTGAAACTAACGCACATATCCATGCACCCGGCCCATTAAGTGTCGCTATTGGACACTGATGTTTTTTTGTTAGAAATTAGTGACACTTCTAAGTCATAAGTAGTATTCTATCACAAAAGTGTCACTACGAAAGTGTCACTGTAAGGCATTTTTCTAGTAGTGAGCTCCCATTGAGCGTCACTCTTGCCTTCCACCTTCTCTTTGTAGATGATGGGCTCATGCAAATCCTTGCAGTATAAATGGTCTTCCATCATTGGCTTCCAATATGAGTAGTTGTTGGCAGTTAGCTTGAACATGTCTCCATCATGGGCGACGCTATCCTCCATCTTGAACTACACGAGCTGATGACAACCTCAAATGAACCTGGCTCTCATACCACTGTTGGGAAAAAACTCCGGAATTTCCCGCTTCGTGAAGTTAAGATAGGCACTTAGGAATTAAGGTAGTAATGGGAGCACACGATTTAAATTCTCCAATATGGAGATTCTTCCACGATACAAAAGAATAGTATGATTTACAAGAATGTTACAAAATTGTCTCACTCAATGGTGGCTCACTCAAGCTTGAGGATATGACCTTCCCAAGCTAACTCTCTTCTCTCTCAAAGAGGCTCTCTAACTCTCTAGCTTTCTCACTCTAGGAAGTGGATTCTCTCTTGCTAGAATTGCTAGGATTAAGATTGGGATAGTTAGGAATGAAGGCTCCTACTCCTATTTATACTACTCCACCTCCATAATGAGTGGTGTAGAATATTTCTCTAGAATGATCTACATGACTACCTATTCTAGAGAATTCCAAGGAATCTCTACACCTCTCCATTCTCTTCCATATGCTTCCATACTCTTCCATAAGCTTCCGGAAGGTTCCACACATCTCTAGAATATTCCAGAGGATTCCACATTATTCCGCAAGCTTCTAGAGAGTTCTAGACTTCTCTAGGATTCTCCGCAACGTTCTAGAAAATTCTATACTTCTCTAGAAAGCTCTAGAATTTTCTAGAATCTCTCCAATAATGTAGGGATCCCAACAAAATGTTCTATTTATGTAAAAACGTACATAAATGTTATGGAACAAGTGTTCAAAATATTTTGTGCACACGGTATACAAATGTTATGGAACTTCCATTTGTGTTACGGATAATTATAACCATGTGTCTTTCGTTTTTATTAATTGGCAGGAATTACAAAAATTACGTAGGAATAATATGGTACACCGTATTTGTATTAAACCATGTTGTGTACTATTACTTTATTTGTTCCATACGTGTAATATTATAATAACCATAACTTTATTACACAGTATGACTTTGTACGAATTACCAAATTTTGGTAAATGAAAGTTTCCATATGTATTACTACTTTATTATTATAAATTTTGCATGTGTGTTAATATTATATTTCTCCAACAAACTTTTTTGGACGGGTCATCCAGATTTTTGTTGGCATAAGCTGAAAGACAACGCATTACTATATGACCAAGGACACGTTTACTTCACGGGTTAGTAAACGGTGCTTATTAAGACTCGCGTTAATAAGCGGCGCATAAACTAAACAGTGTTGTAAGTTCATGTTTACTTCAAAGGATTTAAAACACCGTTTAACATTAAAATGACTAAAATAACCCTATAGATATATACACACAAACATTCATTAACACAAGTATATAATATAATATATGGGGTCACCTCATACGCTTAGTCGCTTACCCACACCCCTAACCCCTACCCCGCCTTGTACCCTCACCCCTCACCCTACCCCCAATTCCACACCCTTGACCCCCACCCCTTCCCTACCCCCTACCCTTACAACGACCGTACCCTCCACCCCTACTCCCACCCATACCAACCCCCCTAGGGGTAGGGGTAAGGTGGGGGTGAGGTATGGTTGAGTCAAGGGTGGGGGTGGGGTAGAGGTGGGTCGAGGTAGGGGCAGGGGGTAGGGGGTGGGGTCGGGGGTAAGGGTTGGGTCAAGGTAGGGGGAGGTGGTAGGGGTAAAGGGGGTAGGGTAAGGGGTGAGGGTGGGGTGGGGTAGGGCAGGTGGTGGAGGGTACGGGGTAGGGGTAAGGTGGGGTGGGGTATGGTCGGGTCAAGGGTGGGGGTGGGGGTAGGGGTGGGTCGAGGTAGGGGTCGGGGTGGGGTCGGGGTCAGGTCAAGGTAGGGGAAGGGGTAAGGGTGAGGGTGGGGGTGGGGTATGTCAGGTGGTGGAGGGTAGGGGTAAGGTGGGGTGGGGTATGGTCAGGTCAAAGGTGGGGTGGGGGGTAGGGGGTAAAGGGGTACGGGCGGGAGTAGGTGGGGTCCGGGTCAGGTCAAGGTAGGGGTAGGGGTAAGGGGTGGGGGTGGGGTGGGGCAGGTAGTGGAGGGGTCGGGTAGGGCAGGTAGTGGAGGGATCGGGGTAAGGTGGGGGTGAGGTATGGTCGGGTTAAGGGTGGGGTGGGGTTAGGGGTCAGTGTAAGGTAGGGTAGGGCGGGGTATTGGTCAGGTCAAGGGTGGGGGTAGGCATAGGGGGTAAAGGGGTAGGGGTGGAGTCGGGTCAAGGTAGGGGAAGGTGGTAGGGGGTACAGGGGTAGGGTAAGGGGTGAGGGGTGGGGTAGGGCAGGTGGGGGTGGGGTCAGGGTGGGGTCGGGGTAAGGTGGGGTAGGGCGGGGTAGTTGGGTAGCAATAGGGTAAGGGCAATAGGTAAAGGTAAGGGTAAATTCGGAAACTGAAAAAGCTTAAAGTGCCGCTTAATTAATACATGGGGGGCTGATATGCTTAGTAAGCGGCACTTTAAGCATCTCTTTCGGTTAGTAAGCAGCGTTTTAAGCAACTTGCGTGTTTACTTCACTTGTCTTACTAACCTAATTGTGATTTTAGCAGCGAAGTAAACGCCTCCCAAGTGTGTCATTATTCCATATACTTGCCATATTAAATACACTCAAACTGCATGGGTGGGACTTCTAAATATTTTTCAGATGCATTTTCCAAGTATGTCCTTATTTTGGGTGTCAAATTTCCCTCAAATAGTTGTTGTCCCACTGTTACTTTATACTCCGTATTATATAAAGATAGTTTATGCATATAAGACACAGTTCCGGTGAGAATGAAGTCCTGGGAGTGAAATGAGAATAATATGGTTCAAGGCTTGAAGCACGTTTGTATATGAAACTATATATGATAGTTGTAACCCTGGTCTTTTTGTCTCTAAAAAGGGTTAATGCTCGTGTTTAGAACTATCCAAATGATCTACAACCCCAACCTAGATACAGTGGTCGAGTTGGTGTATAAATTTTGGATGTTCAATGCTATTTTATAACTAGACATTTAAAGAGTAATAAATAAATATAATTGAATTTATACATATATACCTACATTTAAAAAAAAAGGGTGTTCATGTGAACTACATTGAACAAGAGTGGCTCCGCCATTGCCTAGATACGAGTTAAAATGTACATGACCTGATTGTGAAAATAGTTAACCGAACAAGAGTTAAACTTATTTTATTTGAACATCTTAACTAAACATATTAGCATTGAACCCCACCCGAACCGAGTCGATCCACGCTCTCCTTGAAAAATTGTCCGTAAACCATGAGTACATAATTATATTTTTGTGATGTTCTTAATTGAGAAATCTAAGTACATATTCTTCAATTTAATGAATCAATTAAATATAAAAGGCGAGTCAAAGAGGAAGTTTTTTTTAAATGTTACTGAAATAAAACTTATTTATACAAAAACGTGATTAAAAGTTAATGTACAATTGTGAAATGATCACTGAAGTATCAAAATTGAACACATATTATTATTACCAAAGTTACTACTATAATCGCTACACTAAAGATGTCACATTTTATAAATAACTTTTATTTTATTATAAATATGTAATTATTTCAAAATAAAAGGAAAAGGAGAAAGAATGAAAACCTTGGATGTATAAAAGTGATATCTAGTATTAATAACATTGAGTGTCTAAAAAACGTTGGATTCCTATTAGTAAATGTTTGATATTTGATATGTATAAGTCCCCACTCACTACAATTTGTTAGAACTTTTTTCAATTCTTTTTAGAAAACACACTGAGTAGTATATGAGAGAAACTTTGTAGTTGCTAGTACTCTACATTAATTAGTCACAACAATCACAACTTTCTTCTTTAAAAATCTTTTCGGACACAAAAAATCAACAATCACTAAAAAATCTCACAAACGCGTCTTTTCAGTTAGTTGTGTCAAACATATTTACATTTCCAAAATCCATAATAGTAAGAGATAATTACCCTACGTATGACTAAAACTTGTTCTCCTTCCCAATCTATGACCTAACTAGTTTTTTTACCAAAATAATACTAAAATTCATAATATTTATATAAAATTCGTGATAAATAAATAAATAAATTAGGTTGACAAATATGCCCTTTAGATTATCTCTATAAAACTCGAAGCTCCTACTATTTTCTCCAACCCTAGCCTCCATTCCACCACCTCCGTAGATCCACCCGCTTGCAGCCGCACGCCCCTACCGCCGCCGTCCCATGACCCGCCGTCTCTCGCCGCCCCACGGCCCGCCCCTCGTCGCTGTCCAGGAGTACGTTCGCTGCAGCCAGACGGTTGATTGCCAAGCCACTCTCAGCCCCACACCTGCTCGACGCCACCCACCCCCGCCATCATCCCTATACATGTGTGCCGGCGTCGTTCCAATCTATGTGCGCCACCGCCATCGCGATCCATGCAATCTACCGCCCAGTCGCCCGCCTCTGTCCGATGGGCTTACCTTAATCGTTGGAATGCTGCCAAAACCTAGCAGGGAGGGAGGCCGCAAGGAGGGGGAGTGCGGCGCTGCTTATGGAAAAATAGGCCTGTAGCATTTTGTGCGTGAGGATGGGCCTCCTAGATTGGGTTTGCTTTGAATACATAGACCACTGCTTTGGATTTGTTGCGTCAAATTTTTGTTGGACACAGAGGCAACTACTTTGGACTTGCTATTAGTTTTGCCCTCCATTCTCATTTTTGCTTTTCTATTTTTGAAATTTAGAGTTTCTAAAATCAGGGTTTGTTGCCATTAAAAATGGACATTGAACATGGGCAATGAATATCATCATAGATATTCTTGAATATGGCAGTGAATATGGAAATATATATATATATATATATATATATATATATATATATATATATATATATATATATATATATATATATATATATATATTGTACATGGCAGTGATTGAATGCATTGAAAAAGTTTGTTGTGTAATGATTATTATCGGTAATGCAGTAACACAGAGTAGTAATTTCATCATGGAACGCAATATACTTAATTAGACTTAAAATAATAAAATTATTAAATTTAAAAAAATAAAAAATAAAAACTATAGATAATTTCGTAATGTGAATGAAAAGAGAATTAATTTTGGCAGAAGTGCTTTGATTATTACCGGATGTGCAGTAATGTCGTGCAGTAATGTCGTGCAGTAACGACAATATAAAATTCAGTGATTTTAATTGGACGAAATAAGTGCAAAATGCACATATTTAAAAATAAGGGCATTTTCGTCATTCAACTTTTAATTAAAAACGTTATTTTATTTTATTTTTGGAATTTCGGTCATATAAAAGTCCAAAAACTAGTTAAGTTATAGATTGAGAAACTCATTAAGTTTTAGTCATATTCTAGGAAATTTCCGTAATAGTAAAGTAGTATTGCTAAATTTAAATTAACAAAAAAAGAAAAGAAAAGTTCAACAAAGTACTACTACGTATGTACTCCCTCCGGTTCTTATTAAAGTTCTCATTTTCCCTTTTGGGATGTCTCTTATTTAAGTTCACACTTCCATTTTAGGAAATAAAACAATGCAAAACAGTGCAAAACAGTGCCAAACAGTGTCCAAACAGTACCAAACAGTGCACTCCACAGTAAAGTCAAATTCATTTTCTTAATATGTGTGAAGTCAAACTGGGAACTTTAATAAGAACCGGAGGGAGTATGATGTATCCATAAATTTTAAAAAAAATATGTAAAGAGCTTGGGAGGCATTGCCCTTTGAAGTGTGACAGCTTGTGATTGGACATCTAATGGACCAATGGAAGGAGTGTTGAAGAAAAAAACAATGTTAAATGTACAATTTTTGCATAAACAACCATCTTAAATGTACATATTTTTGTATAAACAATACACATTTTATTTGTATTACATGTATTTAACATAATATTAGAGGTGACTTTTCATTTTTGCATACGAATTGTCTTTGACATTAAATGACAGATCAATTGCCCCGATATATATAAAATGCAGAATGCTTATTTTGGGGAGCCTTCCTGGAATATAGAACATGCAAACGACAGAGCATAATAGATCACCTAAATGGCCAACCATGCATGTGCTACAGTGTTAAATTCTCAGTGTGAAATGACTCTAAGGGACTTGGTCAAGATGTAGCACTGAGCACAGACTTCAAAAGAAAAAGGACTCTCGGCGAAAAAGAAAGAAATGGGACCGATTTTTTTCTTTTTTCTTTTCTTTCTTTCCCACCATTGTTCTTTTCTTCTAACCACACCTTTCTCTTCCATTGCTTCCTTCTTTACAGTTTACACAATCCAACCCTCTCTATCTCAACATAAAAGATTTAATCCTTTGCAGGAAGTTAAGAAGTATCTTGAGACGATAGCCGCTAAAAGTGGGGAAAAGATCAGTTTCTGTTTTTTCAGGTACTGTCCAATAATCGTCATCATCTCTTTCAATTGGTTCCTTGGTGTTTTTGCTTGTTTCCTTTGTCTGACTTGATCTTACAGAGATTTTGGGGTGTTTCTTTAATTGCCCTTTCTCCCAGATTTTGTTTAATAAATAAAGTGGGGTAGAGCTGGAAAAAGAGGACAAGAAGAAGAAATGGGTGTTCAGCTGCCAGATGTTGCAGTTGAAATGAGGAAAGTTCTAATCTTTTCCATCAAAACATGTTATAAAATTGTTTCCAGCCATCCATTCCTAGTGGGGTTGCTTTGTTTTTTGGCGTTACTGTACAGATCATTCCCTTTGGTGTTTTCTGTGTTGGTGTCTGTATCTCCTGTTCTTATCTGCACTGCCATTCTCCTTGGAACTTTATTGAATTTTGGCAATCCAAACATACCAGAGGTTGAAAAGGAAGAAGAAGGCAAAACAATTCATGATCATATAGTATCTCTAAAAACTGGGGTTTTGTCAAATTCCACTGTTCTTGAGAAGGATGAGAGCTATTATTCTGTTGAACAGTTCAAGGAGAATAAGAATATCTTAGATCAGTTACTTGATGATCCATGTTGTGGTAAGGTTGAAAACCAAACCCGGGGTATTGAGTTGTATGATGGGAATATTTCAGAGCACAAGTACTCTCCAATTCCTAATATGGATGATGAGAGTCTTGATTCTGATTATGAGAAACCCTCATATTCCTGTGATAATAATATGGATGAACACAATCTTGATTTTGATAAAAAATCTGCGGATTCATGTGACTCTAAGATGGTGAACATTGGTTCTCCTCTTATAGATAGGGAGGATTTTGAACACCATCAATACTCTCCCGTTCATAATATAGATGATGATAGGAATCTTAAATTTGATGAAAAAGATTCTAAAGTGGCGATGGTTGATTCAAAACAAGAGGAGCAAGAGGAGGATGCTGATTATGATGACGAGACTTCAGATTCAGGTTCGGATGGAGCAGAGAGTTCTTCCCCAGATGCTTCACTGGCTGACATCATCCCGATCCTTGATGAACTCCATCCTCTTCTAGATGAAGACGAGAACAACCCGCAACCTGTTAATGATTCAGATTCAGAATCAGATGATGGGTATGAAAACCAGGAAGTAGAAGAGAAAATCCGCAAAGAACAAGCAGAAATCAAATCTAGAATGATTATATGGACGGAGGAGGATGAGAAAAATCTGATGGATCTTGGAAGCTCAGAGATTGAGAGGAATCAACGGCTGGAAAGCCTCATTGCCCGTAGAAGAGCTAGGATGAACAGGAGGAGTACAATGGTTGAGAAGAATTTGATTGACTTCGAAAGTGTTTGTGATCTTATCCCATTCAACATTTCCCCCATTTCAATTCCAAAAAAAAATCCTTTTGATCTTGCTGCTGATGATATAGGACTACCACCCATTCCAGGGTCTGCCCCGTCCGTTATGCTTTCCAGGTCCAACCCGTTCGATATCCCTTATGACTCGAGTGAAGAAAAGCCTGATCTAATGGAAGACAGTTTCCAACAAGAGTTCAAGACTGCCAAAGATCCATTCTTTAGTGTACGCCCATCATTATTCGTTCCAATTATACAAGATAAGCGCTCGGAAGGAGCAAGCTATCCACGGTTTCAAAGACAACCAAGTGAGCTTAGTGAGTCAAAAGTTAGTTCTATTCCCGAAACCGAGTCAAACGATTCAGCTATTGATTCAGAAGTCCAGAATTTGGCTGATGAGACTGATGGTATGTCATGGAAAAGTGAAGAGAACGGTCTGGAAGTGGGACCAAGTCCAGCGGTTCCAGCCCATGAAGGATGTGCTTCTGCTGAAGCTTTGGATCTCATTGCAACTGAAATTCATTCACAGCCAGAAACTTCAATAGGAGGGGCAGATGTGGATGAGAATCATCAATACAGGGAGCCTATGTATGATCTAAGTCCAACTGGAGTGGAAAAAAGATCTTCATCATCCATTGCTTCAGACGATCAAGTGAAGGAAATTAAGGAAATGGAAAAGTCTACTCCTATCAGTGAAGAAATCTTAGCTAATACATGCTCCCAGCCAAACTCTCCCGGATATAAATGTGCTGCTGCAGCAATGTCATTTCTTCAGTCTGATGATGAATTGAGATTGGTGGATTCCAAAGACCAGACTGAAGTGCAGGTTGGTGAAATTACAATAGATATATGTTATTTCTTCTACCTTTTGCTACTTTATGAAGATTTCTACGGAGTATGTTATTTACATAGATTCTTTTAATTCGTATATTGGTGGTTGATAATAATCTTCATGTTTCTATCCCTTCATAGCCTAAATTTTTTGTATGATAACATTTTTTAGTAGGAAATATAATTCTATCTCTGCATAGCCTATAATTTTGTACCGTGTCCACTCAACCTCAATTGCATTATTAAAAAGTGATCAAAAGTCTGCGCCTAGTCAAACCAAGAATATTAAAAGAGGATGGGGAGTATACATGATAATGTGTAATCTACGTTTGATTGCATATTTATAATTTTTTCCATTCAACATGACACTTTGATTCAATGGATCTTGCAAGTCTTTGTGCTCGTTGTCAAGGCTTAGTAAAACCAAAATATTCGTTAGGTCTTAACAAATTGTCAAACTCTATTACCATATTATAACTTGGCAGATAAAACTCCAATTAAGAGAGGTAGCCTAAGACTTTATAAGTGCGTTATGATTTTGTAATAAGAAATTGGTTCAAAATGAGTAAAATATGGAAAAGTTTACATATAGGATTAATTATGTTCTATTCCTAAAACGTGACTTTTTAGTCCTAATAAAAGAATAGAAGAAGTTAATTATTTTAGGAGTGAATGAGACAATTTTGGGAAAAACACTGATGATTCTATTTAAAGGATCATGTCTTGGTTCTATCTAAGAAATTTTCACTTTTATACTTGTTTGGTGTGGGATGACTTAACCACTTTAGACAGAAATGAACATAATTTGTAGGTGGGGTGTGAATTAGCTAGAGATTCAGATGCCTTCATTGCCTGATCAGGATCTTTTTTCTTTCTTGGTGTGATTCTCAGTCAACACACATATATGGAAAATTATGAGACAATAGTTTTTGTATGCAAAAATCAGTTATCTTACCTTCTCATGATAAAAGCAGGAGACACCGCTTATGTTGATGGAATCACCTAAGAAGGCAAGCGATTCAAATGTGTTAGAAATGAGAGATGTTGACGGTGAGGCTCATTCTCCACCATCTCATGCGTTTAATCAAATGCTCCACACGGGTGATGATGGTCAAACAGACACAAAAGAGAGTTCTGTTAATGAACTCGAAAATGGTGACCACATTGATGTCTTGTCACCCCATAAGTTTTTCATGGAAGCAATTGATTTCCATGGAAACATGCAACACGTAGATGACGAAACAGATGACATCAAGGAAATCGACGAGAGGATATTATCCGAATTAGATGCAGTTGGTGACTTCAGCTTCAATGAACCGGTTTCTACAAGCTTCTCCAATGAGTTTGAAAGTCTATCCGTTCTACACAATATCGGCTCTGTCAGTCCGAGGTTTCTTGAAGAAAAAGAAATAGAAGAAAAAGAAGACTCCAATTTTGTTCATGAAAAGTCATTTCCAGTCCTCGGACCTTCTCTGTTGAACCAAAATTCAAGTACAGAAGACGTCAACCTGGGAGCGACTCTAGTTGAAGAAGCAAGCTCACTGAAAGATCCAGAATCCAGTTATGAAAACAAAGGGGTGCTTGAGCTATCTGAGTTGCCTCAAGAAAATGAAAAATGTGATCCTCTTGATCATCATTTTCATATTGATTCACCATTTGAGCAGATAGATCACGAAGAACGTGAAAGACCCGACCTTCTTGATCAGTCCACTCATTCTGATATTGATAACGAGAAGGCGCCTGTCAATTCTGGGAGTCCGAGGAATGTGATACTGCATGAACATGTAACGTTAATACATAATGAGATCCCATGTTCTCAAGATAGATTGGCTAATAAAGTTGAACTGGATACTGAAGGGAACTTATCTGAAGAAATATCATATGATGTACCCGAAAAGCTGGATTGTGAAGTTAACTCAAAAGATTCAAACTTCATTACATCTGTTGAAAAGGTTGATCAAGAAGCTCCTAAGCATGACGATTCAAGTTAAGGAGATGCAGACTCCTAAAAACTGGGTACAAGATCAGGAGATTCTGATAAGGAATGAGAAAGTGTGATTTTTTTTGTGGGAAAAGGAAGAATGATGAATTGGGTTTTGATTTTTTTCCTATTGAATACTAGCAAGTCGCTAGTTACATAATTATTTGTTTCTTTTTCTTTCATTTTTTATTCTTTTTTGTTTTGGTGTGTCTTGTCTGAAGGCTCTTGGGATTAGTTTGGACTATTCCATTTGGTTTTCTGTTTTGGTTTCATTTGTATGTCGATTTTTGAGAGAAAAGCAGTAATGAGTGGCTATTGCAAACTGTTAAAATGTATGCTGTTCATATATACACTGTTAATTTTAATGTAAAGCGAGTGGTTATAGCATTAAAAATCTCTACAATTCTATAGGGCAGGGCATGCTTCTCTTATGGAACCCCAAGACCCATCATTACTCTTCATTTCTGTGTGGAAACAAAAGCAGATAATAAATAAATTATACGGAGTATCATGTATGACATTTTTAATTTTTAAATCATATCGGACCTATAATTTTAAAATTAAAAATGTTGTACATTCAAAAGTATATCGGACTTCATAAAAAAAAGGGAAAAATAATAAAAATATCCCAAACTTTGAATATGTAATTTAAATACCCCAAACTTTATATAAAAAGTTGTTTTTGCAACATCGTCATGTATTATTTCTTTCAAAAATGTAAATTTACGGGGTTAATTGCATAATTTAAAATAGCAAATTAAAAGTGTTGCAATTATATAGATTGGGGGTAAAATTATTTATTTCGCAATGGAAGTTTAGAATGTTGATTGTGTCTTCATGAATTATAAAATATTTTAAATTATGCAATTAACACCATAAATTTACTTTTTTGAAAAAAATAATACTTGACTATGGTGCTAAAATAACTTTTTATACAAAGTTTGAGGTATTTAAATTACTTATGTAAGTTTGGATGTTCATCTCACATCCCTTCAAAGTTTGGGATATTTTAATTATTTTTCCCTAAAAATTTGTATTGGACCTACAAGGCATGGAAGCACCTCTGATTTCTGCCTCGAAAAATTGTAGCAGTACTTATGTTTTGGCTTGTTGTAACTTGTAATTCTATGGATGAAAAATGGAAATTTACTCTTTTCAATCCATTGGGTGTGCCACCCTCTAAAAAATGTAGGGTGGGCTGTGCTTGGTGTACACTTTTTTGTGTACACCTTTCGTACATTCGTCTATCTCACGCACAAACAACTATCTGTCCACAGACAACTCTACATTTGTGGATAGACAATTGCACAGAGTTGTCTGTGCACAGATGAGACAGACGAATGTACGAAAGGTGTACACAAAAATGTGTACTCCAAGTATTTTTCAAAAATGCATTGATAGTATATGAGGATTGGATGATAAAGAAGTTGGATTTTGTTCACCTCTTTAAGGAGGATGAACATCACTCCTCCCTACCTCCATACGGCATGTCATTTTTGTAATTGTTATAACTTTTTATTTATGAAAATAGAGTACAAAACCTTGTGCGGTAAGTTAATATGATTTGTTAACACTATTAGGTATGTTTAAAAAAATTGTCCCAGCCGTGTCGGGTCAACTCGGACCAAAACCTTGTGCGGTAAGTTAAAAACCGGAAAATACCCGACTGACTCAAAAAAAACCCGATATGAACCTGGACCCAAAAACCTTGAGAAACCCTGGAAAACCCGGTTTTGATTGGTTTTCAAAATAAAAAAAAAACTTTTTTTTAAGATTTTTGAACCAATAAATAGCAATTCCAATACCTTAAAAAGAAAAAGTAAGTAATATATTTATTTTAAAACGAAAAGCATGCCACACTTTATTATTATATTATAAATTATAAATGTACAATACAAACAACAAATATTATTATATATTTTAATAGGATCAAAACTATATTTTGGAATATTATTAGTTTGTTTTAAATGCTTAAGAAGTATCACCATTAGTTGATTATTATAAGTAATAACTATCTTTGATAATATAATTTTGTATAATTATATGTGTATTATTATATGGTCGTATGATTGTGGACATGTTGACCCGTGACCCGGCCATGTGCTCGGGTCACTTCCCGTTCTATTTTTCTAAACATAGATTATTAGTTAATGTAGGTAAGGTGTTCCCCGGTCCTTACCTCAATTTAATTTGGATTAACACCGAGATCTTTAAAAAATTAGGAAAAGTAAAATAAAAAATTATATATATATATATATATATATATATATATATATATATATATATATATATATACACACACACACGTATGTATGTATATATCTACATATTAGTAAAATTAGTAAAATATATCAAAAGAGTATAAATGTAATATATATAAAAAGTTACGGGAGTATAATTAAGGTCGGAAAAGCTAATAAACATTATTAGGAAAATATCACTACCGTTGACCATTTCTTAATGATAACATTTTTGAAAATATCAGAACCCCACTTTAGGATGTTTTTACTTGAAGTAAAATTGAAAATATCATAACCCCACTTTAGGATGTTTTTGCTTGAATTAAAATTTTCTGGTCTTGTTTTGTCTGGTCTGTACTGATCTAGTCCGGTTTAAAACTAAAAACAGTGCAAATAAAAACATCCTAATATTAAATTATCTTCTAAATAATCAAATGTTATTAGGAGCCCACTTTAATTATGCCCAACTCAACCTAAATTAGAAGAAATTCCGATCCAGAATTTGATTATGTCCACTTTAATAATCTATTCCTTATCGGCCTTTATGAGCCAAGCTCAGCCCACCAACACTCACTATTTAAACCGGCCCATTAGAAAAAACTAAGGTATACACTATATAAGACTCCATTTCCCATAAGCCATTTTTATTTCATCCGTACAACTCATCTATAATCATCCGATAATCTCTTAGAGAGCAAGTTGCAATGGCCTCGTAACTTTTCAACCGTGATTTCTCGTTAAAGCCTTTTTTGTTTATCGTCGTTGGCTATTATCCTCTTATCACACTATTTCGGTGGTTCAATAATGTCTTTTTTGCTATTATTTGCAGGACCAACCCATTAACCGACCATCTGAATGTTGACAGTGGCTGAGAGCAGATCGATGGGTTTCAGGCCATGACCTACTTTACTCCCGGGATTTGGGTATATCCCTTACATCTCCTCCTTTAGTTTGATTTTTTTAATCTACATCACTTATCAAGTTTGTATTAGTATTGAATTGTGTGCATGACTCAAGATTGTGATGTGCATGTGTTTATGTGTGTGTCTATATATATTCAGATTTCCTTAAATTCATTATAATATTTATTTCTTATTGTTTACTAAATCTATTGTAAAATTTTATAATAGGCATATCAATGTGTGTGATTTTTAGATGGACATTGATGAAGAGTTGATTTCTAAGTCGGTAAAATAAATATGCATGGCATAATGACATTAGCATATCATTATCTCAACAAAATGATATAGGTAGTACTAAATTAAAATGTCATAGATAAGTCTACTTACATACAATTTGTACTACATATGCTTCTGGATTTATTATAAATGATCTTTCATTTTCAAAATGTATTATTGCATATCAAGGCCAAAAATAAAATGGATTGGACTAAACCTGGATCTATGATTTTTTTTAAAAAAAAGCCATCAAAGACTGATTGTTTCTAAAAACATTTCTGAATTGCAGTTGTTTTTAAAATGCTTAGTAAGGCCTGGTTATAATCCTTGGTTATATGTAAGAGAACATAACCAAGGTCAGGATATATAAGGCCAAGTATCAATGATGCTTGAATAGATAATGTGTTTACTATTAGAGTTGATTTTTTATTGAAAATTGATTTGATATTATTAAATTACTGGTAAGTACAATAGCCATTATTTTTATCTAAATCCAATTTTAGTTTTATTCTGACTTACTCTGATCTGTTTATAACTTACTTTATTATGTGTTATGTGTTTTCTATCTTCATTCTTTAAGCCACCTAAAGATTGATTCTTGCATCTGAGCACACATTCATATTTTTTATAGTTTGTAACTTATCTAATATCAGTTGCATCTTAAATGACCACTTTTATTTAGGCCATCATATTAAAATTGGTCTAATATGAAAAATACAATGTACAAAATTACAATTACACACCGTTTTCAAAGCCCTAAACAAAATCAGAACTTTTATTCCATAGCCCAAATGCATTCAAGCCTCAATCTTGTTGATTTTTCGATGTGTATGCTTAAATGCCTTATTCTAAAGAGTATTGAAAGACAATCACTCTAATTTTTAATAAACATGAAGCCTAATTGTTTTTTTCAAAAACTATTTTGTTGATGCCATTTGCTAAACACATTAGTTATGCTAAAATGTGTTTGTTTGGAAGCTAATATTACATAGTTGTGGGCCTTGTGGCCTAGTAACGAAACACATTACAAATGTCCCTTTAGTACTTCTTGTTGGTCCCGGTTGTACTGGATACAGTCTAGAGGGGGGGTGAATAGACTGTATTGGTTTTTAGCTTTTTAAACTAAGTACCAGATTTTACAGAATAGCCTGTTCTGTTGACAGAACAGACTGGCAGCGGATGGGGTTCTGGTAGGGAGTTCTGTTGATTTAGCCTCAGAGAAGCAAAGGCAGTAGGCCTTCTGTTAACTCGTAGGACAAGTTCTGCTGAACACAGATACCAAGTCTGAGGAGTTAGACAGTTCTATCTAAGTGCAAATATTAAAGCAGTAAGTAAATGACACCAGGGATTTTTATAGTGGTTCAAGGAACAACTCGTTCCTCTAATCCACTGTTCCACTAAGCTTGTAAAAACGCCCGTTTACAACGCCTTAGTCCTAGTACTTAAGAAGCTCTCCACGTCTTCTTCAAGCCTAGATGTCTCCTGGGATGCACTGCCTGGCTTCCTTTAAGACCGGTCCTTTCACTGAGATTCCTGGAAGTATCACCACTTCACAACTCAAGTTACTTGGACGTCCTTCTTGTAGCAAGAAGAGTTTCTGTTAAAACAGGGGTTCCTCCAACTAGCTTCGTTACAAAGGATTTGTAAGTGATGAGCTTGAAGAGTTGAAGAACACTTGGAACTTTGCTTGAGTTGGAAAAAGTATCTTTCCAACTTCTGCCTTCTCTTGTAGAAGATGATGAAGTGTTGATCTCAAGGAGACTTTTTGCTTTTCAGAGTTTGAATTTCTTGTATGAAGAGTTGTAGCAATGTTTAGCAAAATTTGCAAAGTTACACCGGTTGTTCTTCGTAGTGTATCTTTTATACTGAGGTTGTCTTCCCGTTGGAGGAGTAGGAGGACAACTGCATTAAATGAGCGAGGAGTTGACTTGACCAGTAGGACCCGGTAAAGTTGGCGGGTTACTATTTTGGGATAAGGTAATCCTGACATTGCGGCCAATCATCTGAAATTACTCTACGGAGCATGG